CGTGGTAACTTACTCCATGAACCTAACCTGGTCGGGAACATGGGTGTATTCCAGAAAGCATGGTTAACTTACCGTCAGCTAAACCCTGAACTTTCGGTTGATTAACCCCGAACCTTGCTTACTCAAGGTATGTGGTTCCAAAAACGCGTCCGGGAGTAAGTTCATTCAACTCAGAGTATGTTCCTGGTTAAGGCTCAAGACATTGTCAACAGAGCGACGAATCGACGAGTCACTATGGAAATCTTTAATCCTTGAGAATATGAATTATATTGTTTGTTTGATGCTAATTATATATTAAGTAATATCAGATATTTATTTTGATTTAGAATTTAGACATTATAGAAAATGCCGATCCATGTGTGAGATGATAATATAAAATGTAATAAATAAATAAAATATCATAAATTAAACATTAACTTGTCATAGTTTTTATAATTTATACAGATAACTTATATATGGCAATAAAATAAATATAATAACCATATTAGAATAATATATTAACTTATTTATTACTTATATTAGCACATTCATCATTAACATATCATATCATATCATATATATATATATATATATATATAAATAAATATAAAATTTAACTACTTTAGTCTGTGTCATTATTCAGTGTATATTATCATTATAATTTGTATCTGTGTCTATAGCGTATTATTTGTTTGTTTTATTATTTTTCCATTTAATAAAAAAATATAGGTATCAATAGTGCAATTATATTTATATAATTAATATAATATTGTGTGTGTATGTGTGTGTGTGTATGTGTATGTAAAGAATATTATTTATTTATTTGCTTTTTATTTATATGTGTATATATTTTTTGTAACTTTTTTTTTTTGATACGCCAAAAATTTTTTTTTTCCCCCATTTGACATTTTTGCCATTTCTATTCTTGATACAATCTTAGGTTGTAATTTATTTTCTGTGTGCATGCACACGTTTTTTTTTTTCTTTGTGTTAATATGCTGTGTGTGATCCCTGATGCTGGATTTCGATTGATGGCAACATCTCAAGCACTTCATTATCATGACAACTGCTTTTGAGATGCCTTCTGAGTCCAATTTCTTTTGCCCAACTTGCACTCTTGAACAGATGAGGATAACACAACACCCCTTGAAGACTTAATGCTCAAGGCTCAGAGGATAATGATTATGATTAGTTGTGCTTATGCTTTATTTCAAGAGAGGTCCATATTGACACATCCTTGAAAAGCTTGAGGACATTCCATTTGTTTCTATTGTTTAACTGTAACTCGATCAAAGATATTTAACCCATTACCAGTTTATATTTTTTTCACAAGCAGGTTTTGTTGTTTCAGGACATTTTTTGTTGCCACAAGGTTAGCAGAACATTTAAAACTAGAATTTTTGGCATTCCTTCCAGTACGATAAAGAACATTTCCTTTAGTTGATCTTCCTCAGAGGTGGTTTGTGCAAACGTTGTCTGTTTTCCTTTCAGCTGTATCATTAGTGTGTGAGTGTCTGTGTTTGATGTTTCATGCAGTGATCACTGACAGGCCAACCAACACCTCCCAGGAAAGTGGAGCCCATCTTTCAAAACCTCAGTTTAAAAATTTGTTGCCTTTGATAAAAACATCATTTATTTCCCACTAGCTTTATACTGCACAAAGATAAATATTTTGAAGCTCTATAGGCATAAATAATTGATTTATGGTAAACAACAAAGGCTATTCAGACGGTTCACATGGACACTCACCTTTTTGTTATGAGACATTGTACATTTCAACAGTGTATAATAATGTTTATGCTGGCGGGATTGCAATTAACATAGGAAACACGCAGTATACTTGCATTCGCGCTTCGCAAATGCTGGTTCTGGTTAAAATGCTATCAGTGGTCCAGTTTTTGCTTAGTTAAAATGAGGAAGAACTTTAAATGTGCTTAATCGCTGGTACTCAGACAGTATGAATCAATCAGATCATTTCCCTTATTGACTTGATGTCATACAGTTGCTCTTGACTAATACTGGTGAATGGGATCTCGCTGCTAAAGAAATAATTTACAGATGTCCAAATCTGTTTAATATGTCATCCTTCATTGAATTGATGATGTTCAATTATTATTTCCCTTGCCTGTTTAATCCTGATCACTATGGAGGTGTTTAAATTTGTCTCTTCGTGCATTTTTACTGATTGCATATCTGATCTGAAGAAAAACGCCAAGTGTAAATGAATTCCAAGATGAGTTTGTGTTGTAATTTGTCCAGTATTTTACCATATATTTATATATCCTCTTCAATACATGATGCATATCTATCAGAGAGTCATTATTATTAATATTTAACCTAAAAAATAGAAATAATCTTAATTGTATCTGCTTCTTTATTATTATTATTATTATTATTATTATTATTTTATTCAGACCATTTACTGAGGTTTCTGTTTAAAACATGAGAAAAACTACTGAATAAGTAAAACTTCTGAAATTTCTGAAAATTTTTCATCAAAAAGAAAACTTTGAGTTACCTGAAAGGCCGGTTTTTGTTTTAACATTGAGGCCAGAGTTAAGTTTCATACCCAATATGTATGGCAGCCTAGTCTTTATGTAGAAATTAACACATATGGGATCTTTTTCTCACTGGCTCTAGCTTGCACCTGGCTCAATTTTTACATACTCTGTCTTCCCAGCTGAAGTGGATCGATACTAAAGAATGGCTGTGCTTCGATGGCATGTAATCATCTTGTTGGCTGCTTTGACACTGATCCTCCATTATAAGCCAATGAAGCATGCTGGACAGACATTACATGGGGATTGTTCTCACTAGTGTCTGATGTAGAACTGAAGGCCATACTGCATGATGTTTTATAAGTGAAAGAAAAAGGAATAACGAGATAATTTAATTATTGTCATTATTTCAATGTAATTGAAAACATTACTTTTGAACTGTAAAAATACTAGTAGTGAACACATACAGCTCAAACTTCTTTCTTGCTAACTGTCGGTGATAATTTAAGTCTCATCAGATGTGACAAGATTAGATCTCCATGGGTGCCTATCACTCATCTGAACTCTCCAGGTTCATTCCTCTAGTCATTCTCCATGGAGCCTTAGTCATGTGCTGCTCCAGCAAAATATAGAGCCCCTAACCTCACCTGAGGGAACAAGACCAAAGACACAGTAGTCTCAGTGTTGGGACCTCTGAGATTATCACCTACTCTGACCCTTCTCACACCATGTCTGCCTGACCCCAGGAGTGCCCCCAACTTCTTCCAAACCTTTTAACCATACATAACCACCCCTGTCCCTTCCATTCAATCTGGCTCTCCCCCTACAGGGCTCCATGCTGAAAATGCCACAGGACCAAGGATAGAGCCTTGTGGGACACCGTCTGGACCTGTCTGAGCACTGTCACGGCTGTTTGCTAGCTCCCTGCAGGCATGTTGGTGCTTGGATGAATGAGGTAATGAGATTTAAGCTCTCTAATGGGATATCATTGGCGTGGGAGGGCTTGGAGAGCAATGTCTGGTTTACACTAAGCAGAAGTTAATGATGACAGTAACTAACCAATTGTAATTAAGTCATCAATCTCATTCCATCATTGTTTTTGGACATGCATAAATAGCTACAACTTGCATAGACTAAAGGCCTTTAGTCAAAATTGTCCATTATAAAACTAAATGGTTTGACGGTTGATATTTCTTATAACACAACTGTAATGTATTACGGTTTATGTCTTTCCTTTTATTCATGTTTGTTAGTCTGTGCAGTGCAATTGGCAACATGCAATAGTGGACCCTACTTTGTTTTCGTTTGAGACCATTTTCACTGATTGAACAACAACAGAGTGCTGAAGTGATTAATAATTTTTTGTTGGCCAACCTGGAAGTTAGCATCACTTTAGTTACTTCCACAAAAACGCAATATAATGTTTCTATTGACTTTTGGATTATTGCAAACAATAAGCTATGTGACCAACAAACATTTATGATTGTCAAACGTTTTGTTCCTCATGATTTATTTTTTGAACATAAAAGTCACAAATGAACACAACTTCTATGAATTTCAAAGCCTAAATATAATCGCCAGAAGTAAAAACTTGAGCGTAGTCTATAAACAAATTATACCACGGTCACATGACTTCAAGGTCACCACCATTAAGCTTCAGACAACTCTTTCAGTCTTTATTTAAAAAAAAAAAAAACATTGTCCCAGATAGTTTGGTTTAGAATAGGTTACAAGAGCATAATTATAGACATAATGAGGCTGAAAGTGGACTAGCGAGTAGATTGGTTTTCCTGTTTGGCGTGATGACATTTAATGTCTTTCAAACTCTGTAGCCTCATTTAGCCACTTATTAGCATATTCATTTTTCAAGACATAAAAGTAAGTAAAAGCTTCACAATGGGGTATTACTGATGTATTTTATGTTGTAGAGAAAAACTTGAATGTAATGTAAGCATGTTAACCACAGACCTTATTTCAGGCGTTTAACCAAAAACCCGTTTAAAAAAATCTATTGACTTCAGGACAATGAAACTGGAAGTGCTAAAATGCTAACTTGTTTCCGTATGTCGGGCTACTAAAATATGTCATCCCTACAGCCCTCTATAAATAAAATAGCTTGTCTCTTGTGTTAAAATGGTCAAATAATGGGCTGTATGGTGTTGAAATTTGAGCTGAATATTAATGGTTTGTTTGAAGAACTTTTTTTTGTAAAGGCTGTGTGCTAAATGTAATAACAGCACTCTTACCAGTGTGATATTGCTTAATTGTTTTATCACTTTCAATGGCATCTCTCAGTGCACAAGAGCAAACGGCAAACATTGGCATACATGCCAACCTGTAAATCCTTTTATTCAGACGCCATTTGTCTTCTGCAACAGCTCAACCTCCTTTTGACTCCTGCAAAGACATGAGCCACATTTCAATTGCAAGATGAGTGACACAGAAATATCTGGCTATCAGAATAAAGTAATGTATTCTCCAGATAAGTACCAGCCCCGAGGTGGGACCCCACTCTCGCCTCCCTAGACTGGTGGCATTGCTCCCTTCAGGTATAAGCAGTAACAGGCTTTAATGTCATTTAGCTGCAGGGTGGCCATCTCCTTATTACCTCATGAATCCTTTTCCAAATGCCATAACATTTCCCGAAAAGCCCCCACTTTTTAAATCCAATAATTAGAAATGTCTATTTAAAGTTCACTGCTTCCGCACCAATATCAATTAAAAGCCATTTGAAGGTGATCAGTATCAATTGTCAACAAATTAAATCCATGCAGTTCAGGTGGGCAAATGTAAGGAAACACATTCATCTTTTGAGGAAAGGCTCATGAATCATTAGGACCGTTCTTTTTTTTATCTGCTACTATGCAATATAAATTTCATTAGTGCTTCAGTGCTGGTGTTCCACACCAACAGAGGCAGACAAAGTACTCAACTCCATTACTTGAGTGAAAGTACAGATACTGCTGGTCAAATATTACTCCATTACAAGTAAAAGTTGTAAAGACAGATTTTTACTTAAGTACAAGTACAGAAGTACTTGCTTTTAAAAGTACTTAAGTACCAAAAGTAAATTTCCCTTTTTATGTCAATGCACTGTTTTATTATTGTTGTTTGTAATACTTACAATACTTCTGAAGCAACTTAGAATACATTACACCTGCTGAATACACTGACTAGCTTGTAGTATATTTGGAATAAAGAGCTTTTAGAATGTTAAAAACCTATGGGGAAAAAAACAAAACAAAAACATTATTGAACACCCCTACCCACCCCCACAAAAGCAGGATGGTAGTGATCTCGCACAGTTCTGACAGTGTGTGAGAGCATCTATGTGTAGCCATTCATCCACATTTGAACAGAGTGGACAGTGAAATCCTGTAAATACAGAGTGATAAGGAAATACTCAAGTAAATGTACTTAGTTACTGTCCGCCTCTGCACACCAACAACAATCAGGTGAATTGAGTAATTTAATATGCTTTTCATTATATTATGGACACTGTAGTTGCAACAAATTTGGTGTTGCTAGACAGAAAATAAGGTAATAGTAGTAATGAAATAGAAAAAACAAACAAAAACAAAAAAAACCCTAAAACAATGTCACTATTGAAGATGAAAACAATGAATTCTGTGTGTTTTATATTTCCTTTTTTTTTTTTTATATATATATGACTACTGAAAAGGAAGGAAATGTCTTGTTATACTTTAATATATTTCTATGTCCATAGTTATTTTATTAGAGAGCATTATTTCATTAGGGTTTGATAATGATCTGTCAGGGTTGCACAGGAAGTTGATCATTTTCAAAAAGAAGCAAAAACCTTATTGTTTGGGATCCACCATCTGTTTTTCAAAAGCTTCTTTTAACATCCATCTTCTTCGGGCAACACAATAGTTTCATTGAAGGCTGATTAGAGACTGATTGGCAATCAATTATGTATATCTATTGTAAATCATTATATTTTTCTCTGCTGATGGGGTGCTTGAATATTACATACCACATGAATCAAGTTATAATTTGGCAAAAGATGAAATCCCAAAGCTTGGGATGGCATGTGGAGCGGATATTTCGATAAAATTTTTGTCATTGCTTTGGAGTCATGTTGTTGTGAGTTCTGATTTAATTAGATGCCCAGATGCTCTTGCCTCACATATTTGCTGTTCATTCAAAGAGTGACAAATTCATAGTGTGTCAATGAACGGTTTGGTGTTTTTCTAATTGATATTTTTTGCATGAGTGCTCTCCCTTCAGTCCTGTCGTGTCTCTGTCTAAGGGTTTGCACCGAAGCATGGAAAGAGCAGCCCGAGGTGTCACCTCTAATAAAACATTTATATCCACAGGGAAAAGCATGTCCAGTGCCGGCAACCAGAGCAAACTCAGAACTGGAAGAGGGAGGTCCTTTTGAAGTAAGTGTTTTGAAGGTGGGAAGCAATGCTGTTCATTGTCTGGAAACATCTCCCCCCCCACCTCCCATCCCACCGCATGGGGGTAAGCGTTAAAGTCTCACAGTGGTAGCAGTAACTTCAAAAGCCATCCCATGAATGGGGCTATGTGACCCCTGCCCACTAACAGCAGCTAAATTGGTAGATAAAGAATCAGGGTAATTTGTATCGACTCAATAAGTTACTATGTGGCCAAACAGGAAGGTCATGACTTCATGCCGTAACTGTGGCCCCATGGCAACCGGACATCAATGTAACATCAGTTCTCAAAACACTCCTGTTTCAGTCTCGATACACTGTCAACAAGGAGTGATTGCGCAAATAATATCAGGCCTGATGGCGGTATAGCAAGAGGGCAATGGGCAAAAGGAGGAAGTGGCGCTATTTTCTGGGCATCTGCATATGTTTGTTTGAGAGAAAGGCTTTCAGCATGAGATCATAGCCGGATGGATGGAGAAAGGGTGGGTGGGTGTGGTGGAGAAAGATATGACCCTCTTCGCCTCTCATGGGAATGACAGGGAGTGGTATTCCCCCTCAGTCCCACTCAGTTTGCTCAGCTCAACCAAAATTCTCTGAGCATTAAAATCAATGTTAACATTGTTAGGCCAAACAGTGCATTCTGACCATGGCCAATGCAAAGAATTCCCAAGGCCTTGTCCCGATGGTCCACTGGGACTTACAGATTTGATTATGAGAATAGCCAAGGTTGACTTTCATCCCCTCTGAAGAATGGGCTTCCTTGTTCCTGGCTGGGACAATGGCGTTTCTAAGTGCCATGTGAAACTTGCTGAACTTTGTGCAATAATTCAAGCCTTTGATTCTACAAATGTTTTTGCGCTGTCCTCCACATCTGCAAATACCTCCGCATTTTGCATCTCTACTGAAGAGAAAAAAAGAATTTGAGAAATTAAAATGGGGGAAGATAAGAAAAGGCGTGGAAGTAAAAGTTAGGCACGTACATACGTTTTGCTATTTGGCTTTTGTTGTTTGAATTAAAATAAAGGTTTCCTTCTTGGCTGTCACAATCTATTAGAGGCAACCGAGAGCTGCTATCACTGCGCAGGCTGGCTCGCCCGGAACTGGGAGTGAAGCTGACGGTGTGTGGAAACTAACACGGGCACTGCGCTGTGACCGTGTCACCTGCAATCAGCGCCAGCACCCGGCCAGATTAATCATGACAGTAGGCAATATTTCCAACATTATTAGAAGAGAAACCTAATATTTTGGGACATCAGGGATCTGGGTTCCGGTGTCCATCAAAGTGAGAGCCTTCATTTTATGCTCCGTGGATGGGTAACCTCGGCACTTAACCCCTTTTTGATATTTCATCTCTCTCCTCTCCTGTCTTTCAAAGCCGAGCTCAGCCCACCTTGGAGAATAAGAGATGTCTGGCTACAGTTATGCATTCAACCAACCCGTAGTATCCACACCTATTATTCTACATTTTCCGACAGCAAAATAAGTGATTGTAAAGTGATCTAAAAATAATGTCCCCGTACACTGAACACCTTTAAAGTGCTGGGTGGCAGACCAAAGGGCTGCAAGCAGTGAAAACAAAAATGGCAGCCGACTGTATGAATAAATTTAAGCACTCTAAAGAAGGAAGCTGTCCATGTACAAATACCTTAAACAGGAAATGACATTCATCTTTGTCTATGCATCTGCAGCATTTTACAGTAACAGTTGAAGTTGTTAAAATTATTTAATGCATTAGGTATCATAAACTAACAATAAGTAATACTTTTTTATTAATCTAGATAGTATATACTAATACATTTTATTAATGTTAATGCATTATAAATGAACATGGATTTATATAATAATAATAATAATTTCAATCTATATATTATTATTGAAAATTGCTGTAAAATAATTTCTAATGTGGTGTTAATGCATTTGTTAATCAATTGAACCTTATTGTGAAGTAAAAATTGACATGCATTTTTATATGTAATTTTTTATTAAATCAAAATATTTTAAAATAATGCTAATGTTAAAAAAAAGTGTCCGTTTAATTTTTATCTAGCTTGGTCTTGAGATTTGCCGCTTATTTAATTGTCACTTTTTTCACTTTGTGTTTAATCTATAAAAGGTAATCTATTCATTGATCTGTCTCTCTCACCACATAGTGCAGCTCCATGGCTGTTTTCTAGCCAGCACATGTTTGATTTGTCTGGCACAGGACGCTTTGTGCACCAACGTGTGACTGTTCATTAAGGAGACTTAGTGTGTGTAATACACCATAGCGTTTCCCCATTTATTTAATTTGTAAGGCTCTGACATCAATTGTTGAGCTTCGTTTGCCCAGTCGTGGCATCAGATGTCAGTGTTAATAAGCTAGTGGAGCTGTGTGTGTGTGTGTGTGTGTGTGTGTGAAGATGCGACCGCATGTGTGCTGGGTTGTGTTGTGGAAGGTAAAGCTGTGAAAATGCTTAATTTCGACTCCGGTGTCTGAAAAGATCAGCATGTGTGTGTGTGTGTGTGTGTGTGTGTGTGTGTGAGAAGATGCAACCGCATGTGTGCTGGGTTGTGTTGTGCAAGGTAAAGCTGTGAAAATGCTCAATTTTGACTCCAGTGTCTAAAAAGATCAGCAAGTATAAAGAACAGAGAGATAATACATAAAGACATTCATTGCAGGCCGTTTTGCCTTTAGAGAAATGTGTTGAATGTAATATAATCTCCATTTCCTCAGACATTTGAACTGTATCTATATGCCTGGCAGACTTTTGCCTCTTGGGCCATTTCCCACATTCTTGCCCGGGTGTTAGGACAAGACATTTATTGACCAGCCTTTTTGGTCACATATTCTGTCCTTTTAGATTTCTATTGGCCTTTTATGCAGAACGGGCTCACGTTTTAAAACTAAACCCCATTTGAATATTGGGGGACAAAAGGACGGTCTAAACAGCAAACAGCAGCCTTCTATGTGCTGGAAAACATGACTTCATGACACATCCACATCTCAAGCCTGAACTCTTTTATCATTCACATTGGCTCTAACCATAAGCGCGCCTAGAATTTGATTAAAATGGACAAACACAATGGCCAAAGGTCTGCAGTGCACAGTGCAGACAAAATGGCATGACTTGATGTTCTCAAACGTACTCGGTCACAATTAAGAAGCTCTTTGTCACGGACAGAAAAACACCATGATGGTGTTGTCCTCTATGAGTGCAACCCACCCACTCACAGGTCCAAGCATAATTCATGTGACAATGATACCCATTATGCTCTTGTTATGGCAACTCCAGAAAGGATGTTCTAACAAATAAGATGGCAAGATTGTACCTTAATAAGGAGGGAAAAGTGGGATAATTCTGTCGTTGAGGACTGATATATTGTACCCACGCACTTTGAGTCACCTCACAAAAGATCCAGTGTTTTCTATTCTCAGCAGCTGGGCTTCAACAGAAAAACTTGGAATGCTTTGTAGGCTACAGAGGAGAATTTATTCTTTGTGGAGTTTCATGTTTTACCATACGTCTTTGCACGGGCTGTCAGACATTAGGAGTTGCAACAGGCTAAAGAAAGTTTGAATAGATTAGCAGAGTTATTGTAAATCTGCAGCCCACTAATGGTTTAATCAGTGGACTACAAATAGAGACTTTGTTCTGACAGGCCAGAAAGGTGAATGCTGGTTTAATGAGAAGCTCTGTATGCACAGTCTTAACTTCTGCAGGGATAATTGATGCACTCTTCTTCTTGATTTTATTTTGTGGAAGCCGTATTTTGTAAGTTTTGATTAAATGTAATACACTATCAAAAAGTTCAAACATTTGTGGATAGTAAGATTTCTTATGCTCACCAATGCTATATTTATTTGATCAAACTTACAGAAAAACAGTAATATTGTTAATAACACTTTTTTTATTTTAATATATTTTAAAATGTAATATATTGCTGTGATTGCAAAGCTGAATTTTCACCAGCCGTTACTCCAGTCTTCAGTGTCACAATCCTTCAGAAATCAACCTGACATACTGATTTGGTGCTTAAGAAACATTTCTTTACATTATTATCATTAATGAAAACAGTTCATTACATGCATCTAGTTTACTATGGGAAGTTGCCTTTGCTCTGTTTTATTGAAACTTTTTTCCCCTCCAATTAAATGTGTGACCACAATGGCTGTTGGTTTAAAGGAACAGTTCACCCCAAAATTTAAATTTCCTTAAAATGTACTCATGTGAAACTTAAGAAAATTTGTAGCGCTCCAAATAGGAAAAATGAAATCCTTGGACGATGCAATTTATAAAATAAAATAAAAAAATGTCTAGACTTTTCCAGTCTGCATTGTATTCAGTGTGCGGCTTGCCATTTTTATTTTTTTTGTTCTTATAATTAACTCACCCTCAGGCCCTCCAAGATGTAGATGAGATTGTTTCTTCATTGGAACAGATTTGGAGAAATTTGCTCACCAGTTTGCCCACTTGCTCACCAATGGATCATCTGCAGTGAATGGGTGCTGTCAGATTGAGAGTTCAAACAGCTGATAAAAGCATCACAATAATCCACAAAAGTAATTGACATGACTACAGTCCATCAATTAATCTCTTGTGAAGTGAAAAGCTTGCATGTTTGTAATTTTTTTCACTGTCTCCAGTGAAAATGTCCATCCCAGTTGTCTTCTCACATCAACCCACCAACATATTTTTTTTTTAGAACTGTTTTGGACTGTTTTTGATTGTAAACGGTGCTTAATATGTGCATATTCCTTTCCTGATTCAGACAAGACAACGTTTTCACTGGAGGAAGCATGTCGATTATTTGTAGAGTAATCTGATGTTTTTATTAGCTGTTTTTAACTCTATTTTGATGACTGAATTTCTCCAAATCTGTTCTGATGAAGAAACAAACTCATCTACATCTTGGATCGCCTAAGGGTGAGACATGCAAAAAAAACCATGCAAAACTAATTTTGAATGTTTAGCCGAGTATTAGAGGACAGTCC